GATGGCCAAACTTCATCTCTCATACTTCAGACATATTGTCAGGAGGGACCAGTCGCTGGAGAAGGATTTCATGTTTGGTAAGGTGGAGGGTCAGAGTCAAAAAGGAAGACCCCAGTGAGATGGACTGGCACAGTGGCAGCATCAATGGACTCAAGTATGGCAATGATAGTGAGGTTGGCCCAGGATTGGGCAGTGTTTCGTTCTGCTGTGCATAAGGTTGCTATGAGTTGGTACCAACTTGAAGGCACTTCACAACAACAATCGAGATGGTAAAGGAGCCCTGGTGACACATCGTTTAAGATCTTGGCTACTAACAAAACAGTTGGTGGTTCAAATCCGCCCAGTGTCAGTGAGGAAGAAAGACCTGGTGAATGGCTAACATAAAGATTATAGCCTAAGAAACCCTACGGGGAAGTAATCCACTCAACGTTAACTAGTAACAACAACTGAGATGATGAAGCAATGGCCAAGGGCTCAACTCTTTTCCCCAGATTTTAGACTGAGTATTTTTTCATGCCCAGTATGCAGTCGGGCTACATCAGGACCATGATTCACAGCAGGAGGGAGTGCTGAGGAGAGGTAAAAGGTATGAAACATATAACACACATAGGAGGGCTGCATTATTTTAAAAGCCCCATGCCCACTGGGTGAACTTAGTGTCACTCCACACCCTTTAAAAAACACTATTCCCACTCATTGGGAGAGTTCCTGAGTCAAGCTGTGCAGGGAAGGTCAGCAGAGGGAAATAGTCCACCACCCGAAAAGTATCAGCTAAAAAACAGTTCCACTGGGGTCAAGATAAACTTATGAGAGGGCAGTACAGACTACCAGCTATTAATCTATACTCTAAATGAACGTTGTAGCGTAATGGTTACGAATCTGGCTGTGAACCACAAGGTCAGCAGTTCGAAACTACCAGTGGTTTGGCAGGAGAAAGATGAGGCGTTCTGCTCCAGTAAAGATTTACAGCCTCGGAAACACTGTACAGGTCGCTATGAGTCGGAACCAACTCCACGGCACTTAACAACAACAACAACAAATGAACGTTATTGTCTACATACAAGCTCTTATTTTTACATTGGCAACAGCATAACAATCTTAAAAAAGAAATAAGGAAAGCTTACCTGAAGGAAGAAATTATTGCGGTAACTTCATCATCTGGATAAAATTGAGTAATTGCATGATGTGCCCCAAGCAATTCCTTCCCATCTTTCCACCAAGAAATAACCGCAGTGTCCTGGTATATAGTAGGTATGCTAATTGAGCAATTAAATTTGACATCCTTATGTTCAGAAAGTGTTATCTGTCCAATTGTGTGGTTAAACGCAAGAGGCACATAGAAATTTGACCCAGCAGAGGTCATCCTAGGGACGGCTGCATTTCCTGTAGGCGGCTGTCCAGGCTGGGTTGGGGAAAACACCAAGGCTGGTTGGTACCCACTTGTTTTAGGAAAGGAAAATGACACGTGGTCAGTTAGCAGACTTTTTGGGAAAGGTCCTGGCGTTGGTGGGTAGGTCTTGGTTTCTTCTCTCGCCTCAGTGGGAACTGCAAAACAGAATACCCAATGTTTAGCCTTTTAAACAACAGAGACGTTTTCCCTAAATTCTATGACCAAAATCAGAGAGAAATGTTCTCAGTGCCATCAGAAAACGTACCCGAACTGCCACTAAGTCAATTCCGACTCACAGCAACCCAGTGGAAGAGAGTAGAACTGTCCCATATGTTTTCCTATGGTGTAATTTTTATGGAAGCAAATTACCACATCTTCCCCTGGCAGAACTGATGGGTTCGAAACAACAGTCTTTGAGTAAGTAGTCAAACACATAACCGTTGAGTTACCAGAGTTTCTTCTCAGAAAACACGAATAGTATTTATTTAATTCACATGTCTGGATATATATTCTCATTCACCAATTCATTTATTCTCATTTGTCTTCTTCTAAAGAATGCTTAAAAGAAATATAATTCCAGTAGCTCAAAAGAGGGAACAAGTCCTTACAACAAGAATCATTCCCACCCCCTTCACACACAGAGTAGACAGGGATGGGCAACTTAGACATTGGCTACCCAAAATG